ATAGAGAGGCATCCATTGGTGATCTGGGTGGTGACGGAATGAGCTCAGATCATAGAGAGGCATCCATTGGTGATCTGGGTGGTGACGGAATGAGCTCAGATCATAGAGAGGCATCCATTGGTGATCTGGGTGGTGACGGAATGAGCTCAGATCATAGAGAGGCATCCATTGGTGATCTGGGTGGTGACGGAATGAGCTCAGATCATAGAGAGGCATCCATTGGTGATCTGGGTGGTGACGGAATGAGCTCAGATCATAGAGAGGCATCCATTGGTGATCTGGGTGGTGACGGAATGAGCTCAGATCATAGAGAGGCATCCATTGGTGATCTGGGTGGTGACGGAATGAGCTCAGATCATAGAGAGGCATCCATTGGTGATCTGGGTGGTGACGGAATGAGCTCAGATCATAGAGAGGCATCCATTGGTGATCTGGGTGGTGACGGAATGAGCTCAGATCATAGAGAGGCATCCATTGGTGATCTGGGTGGTGACGGAATGAGCTCAGATCATAGAGAGGCATCCATTGGTGATCTGGGTGGTGACGGAATGAGCTCAGATCATAGAGAGGCATCCATTGGTGATCTGGGTGGTGACGGAATGAGCTCAGATCATAGAGAGGCATCCATTGGTGATCTGGGTGGTGACGGAATGAGCTCAGATCATAGAGAGGCATCCATTGGTGATCTGGGTGGTGACGGAATGAGCTCAGATCATAGAGAGGCATCCATTGGTGATCTGGGTGGTGACGGAATGAGCTCAGATCATAGAGAGGCATCCATTGGTGATCTGGGTGGTGACGGAATGAGCTCAGATCATAGAGAGGCATCCATTGGTGATCTGGGTGGTGACGGAATGAGCTCAGATCATAGAGAGGCATCCATTGGTGATCTGGGTGGTGACGGAATGAGCTCAGATCATAGAGAGGCATCCATTGGTGATCTGGGTGGTGACGGAATGAGCTCAGATCATAGAGAGGCATCCATTGGTGATCTGGGTGGTGACGGAATGAGCTCAGATCATAGAGAGGCATCCATTGGTGATCTGGGTGGTGACGGAATGAGCTCAGATCATAGAGAGGCATCCATTGGTGATCTGGGTGGTGACGGAATGAGCTCAGATCATAGAGAGGCATCCATTGGTGATCTGGGTGGTGACGGAATGAGCTCAGATCATAGAGAGGCATCCATTGGTGATCTGGGTGGTGACGGAATGAGCTCAGATCATAGAGAGGCATCCATTGGTGATCTGGGTGGTGACGGAATGAGCTCAGATCATAGAGAGGCATCCATTGGTGATCTGGGTGGTGACGGAATGAGCTCAGATCATAGAGAGGCATCCATTGGTGATCTGGGTGGTGACGGAATGAGCTCAGATCATAGAGAGGCATCCATTGGTGATCTGGGTGGTGACGGAATGAGCTCAGATCATAGAGAGGCATCCATTGGTGATCTGGGTGGTGACGGAATGAGCTCAGATCATAGAGAGGCATCCATTGGTGATCTGGGTGGTGACGGAATGAGCTCAGATCATAGAGAGGCATCCATTGGTGATCTGGGTGGTGACGGAATGAGCTCAGATCATAGAGAGGCATCCATTGGTGATCTGGGTGGTGACGGAATGAGCTCAGATCATAGAGAGGCATCCATTGGTGATCTGGGTGGTGACGGAATGAGCTCAGATCATAGAGAGGCATCCATTGGTGATCTGGGTGGTGACGGAATGAGCTCAGATCATAGAGAGGCATCCATTGGTGATCTGGGTGGTGACGGAATGAGCTCAGATCATAGAGAGGCATCCATTGGTGATCTGGGTGGTGACGGAATGAGCTCAGATCATAGAGAGGCATCCATTGGTGATCTGGGTGGTGACGGAATGAGCTCAGATCATAGAGAGGCATCCATTGGTGATCTGGGTGGTGACGGAATGAGCTCAGATCATAGAGAGGCATCCATTGGTGATCTGGGTGGTGACGGAATGAGCTCAGATCATAGAGAGGCATCCATTGGTGATCTGGGTGGTGACGGAATGAGCTCAGATCATAGAGAGGCATCCATTGGTGATCTGGGTGGTGACGGAATGAGCTCAGATCATAGAGAGGCATCCATTGGTGATCTGGGTGGTGACGGAATGAGCTCAGATCATAGAGAGGCATCCATTGGTGATCTGGGTGGTGACGGAATGAGCTCAGATCATAGAGAGGCATCCATTGGTGATCTGGGTGGTGACGGAATGAGCTCAGATCATAGAGAGGCATCCATTGGTGATCTGGGTGGTGACGGAATGAGCTCAGATCATAGAGAGGCATCCATTGGTGATCTGGGTGGTGACGGAATGAGCTCAGATCATAGAGAGGCATCCATTGGTGATCTGGGTGGTGACGGAATGAGCTCAGATCATAGAGAGGCATCCATTGGTGATCTGGGTGGTGACGGAATGAGCTCAGATCATAGAGAGGCATCCATTGGTGATCTGGGTGGTGACGGAATGAGCTCAGATCATAGAGAGGCATCCATTGGTGATCTGGGTGGTGACGGAATGAGCTCAGATCATAGAGAGGCATCCATTGGTGATCTGGGTGGTGACGGAATGAGCTCAGATCATAGAGAGGCATCCATTGGTGATCTGGGTGGTGACGGAATGAGCTCAGATCATAGAGAGGCATCCATTGGTGATCTGGGTGGTGACGGAATGAGCTCAGATCATAGAGAGGCATCCATTGGTGATCTGGGTGGTGACGGAATGAGCTCAGATCATAGAGAGGCATCCATTGGTGATCTGGGTGGTGACGGAATGAGCTCAGATCATAGAGAGGCATCCATTGGTGATCTGGGTGGTGACGGAATGAGCTCAGATCATAGAGAGGCATCCATTGGTGATCTGGGTGGTGACGGAATGAGCTCAGATCATAGAGAGGCATCCATTGGTGATCTGGGTGGTGACGGAATGAGCTCAGATCATAGAGAGGCATCCATTGGTGATCTGGGTGGTGACGGAATGAGCTCAGATCATAGAGAGGCATCCATTGGTGATCTGGGTGGTGACGGAATGAGCTCAGATCATAGAGAGGCATCCATTGGTGATCTGGGTGGTGACGGAATGAGCTCAGATCATAGAGAGGCATCCATTGGTGATCTGGGTGGTGACGGAATGAGCTCAGATCATAGAGAGTCCTCCATTGGTGATGGGAATGAGCTCACATCATAGAGAGTCCTGCATTGGTGATGGGAATGATCTCGGTTCATAGAGAGTCCTCCATTGGGGATGGGAATGAGCTCAGATCATAGAGAGTCATCCATTGGTGATAGGAATGAGCTCAGTTCATAGAGAGTCCTCCATTGGTGATGGGAATGAGCTCGGGTCATAGAGAGTCATCCATTGGTGATGGGAATGAGCTCGGTTCATAGAGAGTCCTCCATTGGTGATGGGAATGAGCTCAGATCATAGAGTCCTCCATTGGTGATGGGAATGAGCTCGGGTCATAGAGAGTCCTCCATTGGTGATGGGAATGAGCTCAGTTCATATAGAGTCCTCCATTGGTGATGGGAATGAGCTCAGTACATAGAGAGTCCTCCATTGGTGATGGGAATGAGCTCAGTTCATAGAGAGTCCTCCATTGGTGATGGGAATGAGCTCGGTTGATAGAGAGTCCTCCATTGGTGATGGGAATGAGCTCAGTTCATAGAGAGTCCTCCATTGGTGAACAGAACCTCAAAGCCGCCAGTTTATAGACCAGATTCGGGCCAACAGATGGCGCTGGTTGGGGTCATATGGTGGACAATAATAAATAGTGGAAGGGTTACATGTCATAGGTATGAGTGGTAGGGGTTCACCGGTCATGTACTGTAAGTATAACTGGGGAGGGTCTTCAGAAACAGTGTGCCCTAATAGAATATCTAAACCCAAAAACAAAAAACATTTTGCAGTCCTTAGATGTGTCGTCTGCATTAGTGTTTCCTTCCTGTAGTTTCCCCGGCGATCCTGCCAGTAACACACTTGCTGTCCTAGAATGACAAGTCACCCCCATTATACTATATCTACATGGCGGGCCGGTATGTTAGGACTGACAGTGGAAGTTACATTGTTGTTTCTGGGATTAGAATTGAATTTCGGTCCGGCGGTTCTTTCTTTTTATTTCTGACGCGGCCGTCGCATTGTAAAATATTGACCGCACCGCTCCTTTCATTACATCACCGCGGAGGTGGGAGATCCTTTGTCCAATCATACGGAGCCGAATATAAAAACAGGAAAAGGCGGAACACAGAGATTGGAAGAGTGTGATTTATCAAAGGAAATGATGTCACACTCTGACAGGAAGTGATGTCATATTCTCACAGGAAGTGATGTCACATTCTGACAGGAAGTGATGTCATATTCTCACAGGAAGTGATGTCACATTCTGACAGTTAGTGGTGACATATCCTCACAGGAAGTGATGGCACATTCTGACAGGAAGTGATGGCACATTCTGACAGGAAGTGATGTCATATCCTTACAGGAAGTGATGTCAGGTGCAGACAGGAAGTTCCAGGTGAGAGTTGGGAGGAAGTAGAGAGGAGACATTGCTTGAACTGGCAGCAGAGTAGGTAAGAAGATATTATTTTATATTTACACCCAGAATTCCTCTCTATTAACCATTTTAGGATTCTGGATTCCAGATGTCCGGCCCTGAAGTAGTCAAAACAAACTTTTGACTGCAGCTTGTTTTCCTGACTCTGGGAACGTTTACATGACCGGAGGGGTGCTGCGACCCCCCAACCCCCTGCCAGGCCATCCCTCACTCTTTGATTCCCGGGCCTTCTCAAACAAAGAGCGTCGGGATGGGGGACACCGCTCCCCGATGTTCTCTCAGCGTGTGAACCCGTAAGCCAGGAGTGTTCAAACTCCGCCCCTCCAGCTGTGGGTGAAACTACAAATCTCATGAGGCATCTCTCTCCGGGAGTCATGTCTGTGGCTGTTAGAATCTCGCAATGCCTCATGGGATTTGTAGTTCCCCCACAGCTGGAGGGCCGGAGTTTGTACACCCCTGCCATAAGCGCTTGGCTCTGAACATCTCCGGGCTTGGGACTGTCACAATCCTGCATGAAAATCATGGGACGCAGTCTGTGCTGGATCGGAAATAACACAGGGCAGAGGGGACGTTGGGGGTCTAATGGACCCCTGTTGTCTCTGTAAAGAGTACCTGTCACCTGCCCAATGCTTTCACTTGGCTTGCTGGCCACTTTGTGCAAGCCAAAAAAAATAGATACAAATTTTGCCCTCGAATGCAAAATTGAATGTTCTCCATCTACAGAGAGAAGAGTCCTGGATAGGTCACATGACCACCACAGTGGGGATGGAGGAGGACCAGAGTCACATGACTGAGAGGATATTAGACCTCACCCTGGAGATCATCTACCTGCTGACTGGAGGGGTCAGGAGGATTCTGGGAGGTCACATGACATCACTCTAATCTCCATTCATAACACACAGACCTGACCGGAAGGGTGAGGAGGATTCTGGGAGGTCACATGACATCTTTTCTCTCATTGCAGCATTATTCACTTGTGAAATCTAGTGACCATATGACCATCATGGGGCCTCCACCTCACTCCATGAAACCCGAGAGAAATCATGTTAAGAAGATTCTAGAGGTCATCAAGAAGATGATTGATCTGCTGACGGGAGAGGTGAGCGGTGCCGGGAATTCTGGGACATGATCCAGGAACAGACAAGGGGCGTGTCTGGGTGGTGACGGTATCATTGTGTGTGTCAGGTTCCTATAAGGTGTCAGGATGTCTCTGTCTATCTCTCCATGGAGGAGTGGGAGTATCTAGAAGGACACCGGGATCTCTACAAGGACGTGGTGATGGAGAATGCCCCGCCCCTCACATCACCGGGTAAGAGGAGAGAGCAGTACGGAGGCTCCGCCTACATCCCCCATCATCTGATACACACATAGAAACAATGTATTCAGTCAGTGTGTGTGTTTCCTACAGATGGATCCAGTAAGAGGAACCCACCAGAGAGATGTCCCCGTCCTCTGTATTCCCGGGACTCCACCCAGGAAGATCTCACCGTCCCCCACCATGAGAGATGTCCCCGCCCTCTGTACTCCCGGGACTCCACCCAGGAAGATCTCACCGTCCCCCACCATGAGAGATGTCCCCGTCCTCTGTACTCCCGGGACTCCACCCAGGAAGATCTCACCCTCCCCCACCATGATCGGGTCGGTGGAAGTGAAGGACTCGGATGTTAGGACATATCTTCTGGTGTTTTGTTAGATTGTTGGTGTTTCTATCATTCTGTATATTTAGGGTGAAGATCTGATTCCAATGACAATGAAGATTAAAGAGGAAGAAGATGAGGGACGTGTGAGAGGAGATCCTCAGTCTACAGAGGAATATAGAATGATGATGGCCATTAAAGAGGAGGAATCTTCTCCGGACATGGACACAGGTGAGTCATGAAGCAGGAAGGGGGCGTGTCTTCATGTTATTCCAGCCTGACTAATGTATTCACATCGATAGAGAAAGATGGAGGATCAGCAACCGACCGGATTATGGACCATCGGAGTGCAGAGACCATTTATACTTTGTCTTCTGCCTCCTTTTCTTGTGTTCCTTACTCTCGTGTTCCTTTGTTCTTTACTATTCCCGGGTGGTTTTGCCCACTTTCTGTTGGCTTACTGTGGAAGGGGTGAGGACTGAGGGGCAGAGCGATGACTCGTGCTGTAGGAGACAAAGTATAAATGGTCTCTGCACTCCGATGATTCATAATCCCCTACACCACCGCGTTCTCCATCAGTGATGCTCCGCAACACTCCCTCCTGACTGTTTCCATCTCATTACCAATGACGAAAGGTGGCCTCATGGACTCTTCAACCATTCGTCGTGACCGGCTGAGGTAACAGGACTGTGGACTGACCACCACAGATGACTTGAATCCTTGACTTTCATGCCGGGGGTCTTCAGCACTATCTTCTCCCGCACCTCTCCGGGACTGGATTTTGCTGCCTTTCTGATGGGACCCGGGTCTCGCCTCTCTTACTTTCACTTTCTATTGTATTTTATTGTTCATTTTGTAAAAACAATAAAGATATTTATACTTCTTTCCAGCAGGTGGACACAATCCCCCGGGAGGGACCTCAAATCTTAGCGGTGGACCTCAAGTCAGAAGACATTTCAGAAGGAAACCCCGATACCCATCATGGACATCACGGAGCTCGCTGTGCGGACACATCAATGAATCTCTCTAATCCTGAGGATTCCATTCATACGTCTCACACTCCCACCAATGAAATCCATCCAAGACTTCGTGCTGCAGAGAGATCCTTCCACTCCCCGGAGGTCATCTTCCGGTACTTTAGATCCTTCTTCGCACAAAGACGACGACATAATCCCATGTTCTGAAGTCATTGAAGTTTTTAGATCAGAGTTGTCTGTGGCTGCGGATCGAAGAACAAACGCAGAGCGTCCGTTTCCATGTTCAGCGTGTGGGAAATGTTTCACTTGGAAAGGACACCTTCTCAAGCATGTGAAAAGTCACACGGGTGAGCGTCCTTTGTCATGTTTAGACTCCGAGCATCTGAGGGGTCACACGGGTGAGCGTCCTTTGTCATGAGCAGACTCCGAGCATCTGAGGAGTCACACGGGTGAGCGTCCTTTGTCATGTGCAGACTCCGAGCATCTGAGGAGTCACACGGGTGAGCGTCCTTTGTCATGTGCAGACTCCGAGCATCTGAGGAGTCACACGGGTGAGCGTCCTTTGTCATGTGCAGACTCCGAGCATCTGAGGAGTCACACGGGTGAGCGTCCTTTGTCATGTGCAGACTCCAGACAATCTTTCACTCACAAAGCCCACCGTCTTATACATCAGAAAAGGTCACATGGCCCAGAGTTATTATTCTTGTCTAGAGTGTCAAAGGTGTTTCACTCAAAAAGCAGACTTTCTTACGCACCAGAAGAGTCACATGGGCGAGCGTTCTCTTCTGTGCCTAGAGTGTGGAAAAAGTTTCACTAAAGAAGGAGAATTCCTCAGACACCAGAGAATTCATACAGGCGAACGCCCGTTTTCATGTTCAGAGTGCGGCAAATGTTTTACCGAGAAAGGAAACCTCCTTTCACACAGGCGAGCGTTCCTTTTCATGTTCTGAGTGCGGGAAAGGCTTTACTGATAAAGGAAACCTGACACACCAGAGAATTCATACCGGCGACCTCCCATTTTCGTGTTTAGACTGCGGGGAAATCCTTCACTCAGCAAGGAAACCCCTCCTCCTGCCGTGACAGGATCGAGAGGTGAGCGAACGCCGGTATGTGTTCTCTCTCACCTCCCGATCACCCCCAAGGTCAGGGGCAAGAAACCTGCTAAACCCTCGGTGAAGCCTTCAGAATGAATGTGTGTCCTCCTTTCCAAGTGAGGAGGATGTTTCTTGGTCCTTATGTACATTTGGGTATCCACCATCCCCACCCTTCCCTAGGACGGCCATCCAACCTGCAGGGTCAGCTAGGTCATGTACTCCCCGGTTATTGCCCTGACGGGGTTCAGACTGCTCAGCCTTATTCCTGCACATGGAGTGCTCAGCGGGGTGTTGGCTCCAGGGTTACCTCTAGTGGCTTCTCGTAGCATTGTAGAACACTCGGGAGACCTCTGGTGGAGAAAACAGTCACCTTGGGGCCCCCGGTGGACATCATTTTCCGAATGGTCCAAATGCCTTCAAGATATATTTGCGTCGGGAATGGGTGCTGGGAACCTTTCTTCATCTGCAACCAGTTTAAACCAGCAAAAGGGTCTACAGCCATTGGTTCTCAACTGGCGGGGTCGTGACCCAAAAGTGGGTCACCACATGCCTTCCGCTTTTCTAGATGCTCCTCCCCCTAGCGCAGCACTGTCAATTCTCGGGCCAAGAAGCCATTCAAAATTTGCTGCCCGGTGCCGAGTGTCAGCTTGAGGTGGGGTAGGGGGGGATGGGGCCATGGCCGAGAGGGGGCTTCATCCATATGTGCGTTGCTTGCAGCTCCCTCGCGTGCCTTGCAGAGGTGCCTGCACCGGAGTGACGTCACATTCTGGCTCCCGGCTCCTCTACAGGGCACGCAAGGGAGCTGTACCAGCATTGCACATATGGATGGAGCTTTTCCAGCCCACACTGGACTCCAGGCTGAGGATCCACTCCAGTTCTCATAAGATAGGGAGACTGGGTGGGATCTGTACCGCAATGCCGTGCGTTCCATGGCAGTACGACTTGGGTCACGACTTATTGACCAAGGACAAATGTGGGAACCACTGGTCTACAGCATGTTCACCCTGAAGTCCCTTTCCCTTGGTTACGAAGTTACTCAACCCTCTACTGCTGTAGGATAGTCGTGTGTGGAGGGTTCTCCCTTTCCAAGACCCCTCTTCTCTCGGACTACCTAAACCTTTCCCTCTGCTGTTGCGGATCCAGCTTCTGAGCAAGCTAACTTGTCTGCTTCTTGAGGATCGGGTAGTTCCTGGCCTGGTGAATCAGTCTTCCAGTCCCTGGGGGTGGCAAACTGTTGTCTTGTCACCTTCGTAAAGATCTCGTCATGGCCCAACGCTTGTGGAATTCCAGAACAGATAGTTCCTCCTACATCACGGGATCATTTCCTCGTCGGGTCTCCTGATATGAACGCCATTGGACAAAGTCGAGGTACTGGCGTGTCCTTTAACACCAAGGAGGAGGAGGAGCGCTGAGGAGCAGAGGTTTGGAACCCCCCGGGCTTCAGCTGTGATGGTCTGCTGGATGCATCTCATGTTTGTCTCCCATATAGGTCTGTGGCACCGAGCACTCTGGTTAAAGTGCTGGGTTGCGGACATTGCTCCCAAGGAGGACCTCACCCACTTGGTCTTGGAGGAGCGACGTCTCTCTGGACCTATGTAATGGTCGTACCCCGGTGAGGTCGGGTGCCGCCGTCCGTCGCGGGCCTGTGCAGACACGTCGGGTCCTCTCCTCCTCGGGTCGCACACAGCAGGTGACGGCTCCTGGTGTCAGTGGCCGGAATCGTGCTGCGCAGGCGCGTTATCGATCGCCGGCGCCTCTCTCTCTGCCGGGAGATGCGTCCTGCGCAGGCGCGCCCCGTAGCTCCGCCCCCTCTAGAGCGAGCGCTCGGCTTAAAGCCTCCGCTCG